ACAAAATGACAAACCTACACAAGCCCCGGGAGATCGATTGTCACCCCTGGTCTCTGTCGTCCAAGCTGATTTAGATTAGGAAAGTCAAAGTTAATCACACAATAAATACATTCTGAAATCTCTTTTTGAAATAGACAGACAAATATATACAAACTGATTAAAAGATTAAAAAAAAGAACAACTCATTACTAAGTGTTTACATCTAAAACAGTCACTTGAACATGTTGAAGACCGAGATGCACACACAAACCCCTTCTATTAGGCCAAAGTATTAATTATGTTTTCCTCTCTCTCTGTCTTTACTCCCTCTGTTTCATCCTCTGCATGCTTCTTCATGTAACTGATTGTACACACTAGTGTCGTGGTCTAGACCAATAGATGTTGTCCTATCATCCCTTCAGTTACCGCACTACAGGCACACAAATATAAAGACACTCAGTTTGGCTCTCAGCCCTGCCTCGTTCCAATTCTCCTTCCTACAAACAGAAGCAGTGCTGCCTGTAAACAAGTACTCTTTGTCCTTTCGGATTATAAATACTGTTTTGGTAAATGCATCATCAATAAAAGACGAGACAGAGTGCATTTTAGTGTACACCGATACAAAACACACAATTGCACTGTGAGAAGAGTTTCCTTCTTCATTTGTATTTCTTCTGGTTGGTTTTTTTGTTTCGTTTTTTGTTTTTTTCTTATTTTGGCTTCAGCATTAAGGCCCAAAAATCTGGAGTGTTAGGGAAGAAGTAGTCCAAGTGGTGATCTGCCTGTGCCCGAAGGGCCTATTGTAGGTACAGACAACACGTGTACAGGCACACTCACAGATAAACAGTATTGCAGGGGAATATAAAAGACACTAAGGAATGGTGAAACATCCTCTCTGTCATTTGTTCTTACTAAATCATTCTCAGACTATTCTCAGTCATACATTTCTTCCTTTATTTGAAATCTTCTGAACCGTGCTCGTCCTTCATTCCTCCTCTCCTGTCCAAAGTGCTTGGGTGCCGGTGCTCTTTCAGTCTGGCTACACTAGGGGGTGCCGTTTCTCTCTGCTGATGACTGACAGGCGGTGGCTGTGTTTATTGCTGTAAGGTCCAGGCTCCTTGAAGTGAAAAGAAAGGGACAAAGTTGCCCTCCCAGCACTGATCTGAGGTCCCTGCCCTCCTCTGTTAATTAGAGTTTGTGCTTTTCAGAGGGCTCCGATGCCAGATCAGTGCCAGTGGGAAACTCCTTCCTCGAGGAGCTGGCTCAGGTGAAGACGTAGTTGAGGAGGAGCTGGGAGAGGAGCAGAACGCAGAGGATGAGACACTGACGGCCCGTCAGCGACACGCTGTCGTCTGTTGTCCTCTGACGAGCCATCTGACGACTCAGAGCCACCAG